TCTCCTGAAGATAAGCAAAGTTTTCCGATCGAAAAATATTAATTTGCAAGAATTCTACACTATTTCTACGAAAAATTGCTTTTTCCCCATATAAAATACATACATTGAAAATTTTGAGCGCTTTGAGCACTCCCTAAATATTTTTTGATTCTAAAATAAAAAAATAGGGGTATATTTTTTGTCGGTATAGAACAATCATAGGGGGTGGAGGCATTAAAAATGCGACCTTATTTTTTTTACATACATTTTTGGACCACTTTAGTGTACGTAAATATTACAGGTTTTCTAGAAATTATTAATTTTTGAATTCAGTTAATGAATGGTAATAAAATTCGTTGCACTAAATCAAATTCAACTCCTTATTTTATTTAATAATTGCTTTAAATTTTTCCAATGGAGTTATTTAGAAATTTTAATAAATTTAAATTACACAAATATTCATTAATCATAAATTCAACCCTTTGAGTCTATTAAAATTGAATTACGTCAATATCTTGTGACAAACAATTCATTACAGCTTAATTTATGGTTACACAAAGGCGCGCACAAATAAACCAGTGCACTCATAAACACAAACAAACACACACACACTTGCACATTTCAGCAACTCCACAAACATTTGCATTGCAATTAGAAGTGCACTTCAATTCAGAGAATATCCATCAGCACGCCACTCTGCCGCAGCGCCAATTACCTGGAGGGCGATTTTCAAATGCAATTCCCATGAAATCTGATATGTTTGTGGTGTTTAATGTAATTTTCCATAACTTGAACTGCACAATTACAGCTAATGCAGTGGTGTCAGCGGGGAGGACAATGGCGGCGCCCACACGCCCACACGATAAGCTGAGGAGTCGAGTAAATCAACGCATTTTACGTTTAATCTGGTCAAGGAATGCATTCATTTCAATAAAAACCGAAAACTAAAGCACAAAAAAACTAATTCTATACAAAAATAAATTTTTTAAAATTTAGCAAAAAAGCGCATTCACTTCCAAGTTAGTTCGTTAAATGCGAGGAAATTATTTTGAAATATGATGTGCGACAATTACGTTACACTTGCAACATACTAATTTGCGCCACAAAATACACTCACGTCAACCAAAACACGCACTCGCGAACAGACAAAAACGCCAGTCAGTGTATGTATAATCTGTGCAATTGCAAATAAATTGTAGCATAGAGGTAGGCGCTGGCCGTGGCTGACATGCCATTGCATGCAGTAAATGTTGCGGTAAGTTCATTTCACTCAAAAATTCCGCGAATTTTTGTATGTCATTTGAGTGAGTGAGTGGCATGTTGAGGACGAACGACCTGCAGTGCTGTGGTGGTGGTACGGTCGTTACGAGCGCCGCGGTGCTCCAGTTTGTTGTTTAAATGGCTACGCACACACACACACACACACAGCAATGCGCAATGAAATGTATGTCTGTAACGTGAAATGCACTGGCGCCTGCAGTTGTAATTTTTTCACTTTTTTGTTCTTTTTTTTCTTCTGCATGTGGCAAAAGCAACTTATTAACGCGTTGCAACTCTACGAAGCACTTACACACACAGGCATACATAAATTGTTACAACCTCGTAGTAGCTGCTATTCGTGTTGCTGCCGACAAATGGAAGTCATCAACAGCAACTACACCGGCAATAAAGGTTGTAAAAAGAAAAGCCACCCAAGCTCTATGACACTTCATGCCAGCCAACCAAGTTGTGTGATTCTGGTTGGCTGTTGTTGGCAGAAGCAGCCTCGGAAATGGAAGCATCCAAATTGCAAACGTAAATGGAATTCGCACGACATGCCACTTGGTCATTGATACACGGAATACAGATATTTGCGATACACAGTTGCTGCCATGAGTATTCTTTTCGGCGGTATTTATCTCTGCCTCCAGCTCGTCCGTGCTGCTGTGGTGATCTTAGAGCAATTTTTCAACGTTTCTCAGACGAAACAGTGGAGTGTCTTCCCTTCTAAATATTTTATCTGCTTTATACTTAATTGAAATCTTTACTAATGAAAGACCGAGCTCTTTTGCACATTACGCGAGCCCCACTCCCTTTAAAATTCCTGATCCTCCGCATTTGAAGATGAACTCATCTATATCACTTCGCCTGTAATAAGCAATGAACAAAATCTTAAATGAAATGCGAAATTTCTTGTCAAACCCCTTCGTTTATATGTAGGTATGCTTGAAGACTAAGTAAATATTTTTTGGAATCATATTTTTATAGTAGACTCTTTACCAGTTATTTCGCTGTTGTTCTCTGGATTTTATGAGAATCTTTTTCTTACCAGAAATCGGAGGTCGGTGGTTTTCCATTGCCTGCCGAGGGGCGATCGCTGGTAGTAACAAAGTTTTTTCTAATTTTATATGTTGCTCGGACCAGGGATCGAACTCAGACACTCTACGCAGTGGTAGTACGCACTTTTAACTATGTACTCGACTACTGCAGCGCACAGTCTGATAAACAAACAAGCGCTCGTTTTTTTCGCCGCTTTCGTGTCGTGGTAGCATAAATATTCTCGGAAATTCTTAAAGTGATTAACCACCCAAAATGCCGCCAAGTAAGCCTCACGCCAAGTATCCTCACAAAAAGGACATGGAAATAATGAAGAAGACAAAATTTAATGGATCATGAGAAATGTAATTTGTGGTAAGTTTTTTTATTGTGCCAAACAATTTTTTAAAATCATTTATGTACAAATAATCTAAGGTTAACCAATATGTGCGAGTATTACTCCTTCAATTTGTTCTCCCATATCTTTGGCTGGCATTCTGTGACGATTCTGGTGGTAGGTGTAGTGTGTTCATTGGTTTTGAAATAATGTGAAACGACATAGGAGCAAGAGAATCGAAATGAAATGAATTGGTACAATGTGAAATGTAAGTGAAATTGAACCGAAATGAAATTAAAATTGAAATTGAAATGAAAACGAACTAAAAATACAGTGAAATTAAATGAAATCAAAGAAATTGATAGGAGGTTGGTTGAAGTAAAAAGAGGCTCTCTCTTTTCTCTAATCTCATTCAACAAAATTTTATGACGCCCCTAATGATTAAACGAATGCTTGCACTGGAATTGAAATCAAATTAAGTAATTGAAATTGAGTGATTTGAAATGGAGTGAACTGAAATGAACTGAAGTGATATGAACTAAAATGAAGTGAACTAAAGTGAGATAAAATGGGGATTAAAGATCAAATGCAATTACTCATGACGATAAATGAAATAAAGTGAAACGAAAGATTATAAAATGAAATTATATGAATCCACATTAAATTAAATGGAACAAAATTAAAGGAATTGCTACAAATTGAACAGAACAGAAACAGAGAAAATTGAAATGAAATGGAATGAAATGTAATCAAATGAAATGAACTAAACTGAAATGAAATGAGTGAAACTGAAGTGAAATGGAACGAAATTATATTAATGCAATCCATTTTATTAAAGGAAATGAATAAAATTAACTAAAATTAAATGCATCGAAATAATATGAAATGGAGCGAAGTGAAACAAGATGGGATGGAACGGAAGGAAATGAAGTGAAGAAAAGGAAAATGAAATGGAATGAAATTAACTAAAATAAATGCGATCCATTTCCATGAAGCGAAATGAAATGAAATGAAATGGAATTAAGTGAAATGAAAATAACGAAAATTAAAGGAAACTAAATGAATCGAAATGAAATATAGTAAAATGAAACGAAGTGAAATGCAAAGAAAAACGAAATGAAATAAAGGAAACTAAATACTATGAAATGAAGTGAATGTAATAAAATGAAGTGAAATGAAACGGAATGCATTGAAACGAAACGAAGAAAAATGAAGTGATATGAAATGGATCCATGATGCTAAAGGATGAAAAACTAAATGAAAGCAAATGAAATGAAATAAGTAAATGAAATGAATTGAAAAACAATGAAAAGGAATGTAGTAAAATAAAATAAAATGAAATGACATGAAGTGAAATGAAATGGAATGAGCTGGAGCTCTCTCTTTTCGCCTATATCATTCAATCAAATTTAAATTAAATGAAACAAAAGAAAGAAAAATTAAGTTAAATCAAATCAAGTTAAGTGAATTTAAGTTAAATGAAATGAAAGGAATGAAAATTAAACGAAACTAAATGAATCGAAATGCAATAAAGTCAAACTAAATGAAATGAAATGAAGTGGTATGGAAAAAATGAACTTAATGCAATCGATTACCATGAAGCGAAATGAAACGAAAGAAAGGAAATGAATGAAATTAGTTGAATGTAATAAAATGAGGAGGAACGAAATTAATTTAATTGAAATTAAGTAAAACGAAATGACGTGAAATGAAATGGAGTGAAATGAAATCAAATTAAATTAAATAAAGAAAAATTGAATGAAATCAAATGGAATTAAAAAATTAGATCAAATGAATAAGGGTGAAGTAAAATACATTAAAATGAAATGACATAAAATTAAACAAAATGAGCAGAAATGCAGCAAAATTAATTGAAATAAAATGAATTGGATGAATGAATTCAATCAAATTAAAATTAAATAAAGAAAATTTCAATGAAATGAAATGAAATAATTTGATGGAATGAAATCAACACAATAAACGATCATGAAATAAACTTAATTAAAATGAAATAGCATGAAGTTAAATATTATGAAGACTAACGCAATAAAATGAAATGAATTGCATTGAAATAAATTGGAAATGAAATGAACGAGGGCTTCAGAGAGAGAGCTGTTCGCCGATATCGTTCAATCGAATTTTATGACGCTTCTGATGAGCATGCGATTGTTTTCATTTGATTAAAATAGAATGGAACGAAACTAAATGTGCTATGATGATAAGTTACGGATGATAACATATTGATGTTCGATGAGATGTGATACTCGAAGATGACAGATGATAAACGATACCGGCTTCGGGTGAATAATGGATAATTAAGATGACTACATTTTAATGGCTTTAATGTACTTTACTTACTGGTTTTTTCGTCAACTTAAAACTCATGAAATCAAAAATGTGATAAATGATTTTATTGTTAAGCGCAACATGAGATCTCTTTCAGTGAAATGGGAAGAGTAAAATGTATTTTAAAAAGTATGAGCTATGAAAGTAAATACTTTATGTCAAGGATGTAGAGCTCAAAGAACATTTGAACTCCGACTGGTCACCCCTGCTCCATGTTTTTCAAAATGTGTATATGCATTTCAATGGTGAGATATAAAGTTGCGATGGAATTCTGATTATGGAATAATGTGTCAGTGTGTGTGTATGTGTGTATACTTGTGTGTGTGTGTGTGCTTTGCGACAGTTTTGATGCAATGATTTCTTATGAATTGAGTTCAATGCGTTAGCTATTGCACTATGTAAAAATGGACCTATAGAACAAAAATTAAATAATTACTTAATCCAATGTCAACGAGTACGTTGAAGCAGCTCACCTCGCCCAGATCTAATTTCAACCATTCGAGAAGACCTGCTGATATAATTTTCATCCTTAAATTCAATTAACTCCCATTTCCACCAGCGCCTTAGCCGCTGCCACACCCATTTCGCGCTCGCTCGATCCCTCCGGTTCCAGTAGCATGATATCGCGACTCTCTTGCAAACATCTGATAACATTTTTAATATTGCGCTTAAATTCGGATTCACCTATTTCGCCTGCCATCATTAATCGCTGTGAACGCATCATTATTGCGCCATGCAATTCATACAAAATTAGTCCTAGAAGGGTGGTAAAACACCGTATATAAGTTAATTTTTAAATATGTACCCACACTTACCTCTTAAGCGTGTCATGCCCGGTTCTAGCGCGTCTACGACACGCAAAAAGTCGCGACAATAATTTTCCTTCTTCTCCACATCTTCCAGTGGCATTGTGTGCAGCAGGTAGCCCTCTATGCGACCATAAATTTGACAAAGTAAATACTTGGCGGAAAGAAGTAGGTAATGGTTGGGTCCTAGAACACGCTCATATCTGCAGATACAAAGGTTGGGAAGTGCATAGATTTAATTTATGTAGAGGCCTTCCATTTTCCGCAATCGCATGCTTTACTCACTTTTTTAAGAACGCCTCCAGCCCCGGTATATTATGCGCATCGATTGACTCCAAATTATTGTTGATTGCATCCAACAACTTAACAATTTCCTTAGACTGCAATTTATAGTCACAGCGATCACATCTGAAGTTTCACAAACAAAAAAAGTTACAAAAAATTTAGCTTCTTCGAAAAGCTACTCACTTCCATTCAGCCTCCTGATTCAGGGGTTCAACTGTGCGCACTGATCCACCTCTGCACTTCGGACACAGCAGCGCACTGCAGTCCGTGCCCAACTCCTTGGGATCCGCGCAGCGAGAACAACTACACCAGAATAGCTTTCCAGCATGCATGAACTCGCGCCGCTTCAAGGTGCCCTGCTCAGCAAGTTAAATCATATAAATTTAATTTTAAAATTTAAAACTAAAAACTACACCGCCCACCCACCTGCAGCGTGTACGCGTAACTCAACGTAATGCCCTCATCCTTTCGTATGGCTCTGGAGGTGCGCAAAATAATCGCATATGTTTGTGGATCATCGGCGTGTGCGGTGTTGGGGCAGCAGTCGTGTGCAAGCAAAAATGCGCTCCTATACAGACAGCGAGCCTTGGCCGAATTCTGGCCGATTTCAAAGCAATTCACATCCAAAATACCACAAATGGTATGTATCTCAGCGGCGGCGGCCATTGAGCGCATACCCCAATCGCGCTGCAGCCGTTGCACCACATTTTGCTCATAGTGTTGCCACAATTCGGTATTAGCCTTGCGTAGCTCGGTGTGAGATTCCATTTGCAGAATGTCCGCATATTTGTCCGGTGACTGCTGCTTGAGCAGGCAAATGCGCGCAATCAGTACGAGTTCGTAGAAGTTCTTCACCAAATCGACTTGGCCAGAGGCGGCGCTTAGCGCTGCGCCCAGATTGTGTGTACTCAATAGCTCACATTCCTGTGCAGTGTGGCCGGTGGGCTGATGTAGGCCACGGCATTGCGGTCCACACATGGGCCATTTGCAAGCTGCGCAGCTGGTGGGAAGGATAATTGGAAAGGATTAAAATTCGGCAATGATTGAAGAAGTAACGGTAGGCTCATTTGTTAACACAACCCTTTGTCTTTTGTACGTTAAAGTTTTTGGAAAGACGCTCAAAAATCAAAAAATTTCAAGTTTTTTTTTCAAATTATTCCGATCGATCTGCACTCTACTGGCGCCTCTGCGTGACTGTGGGCTATCTATTCGCAGCTGCCTACTTAAATAGTCTCCAGTACAATTTCGAAATACTATTTGTTCACATTCATGGAAAACTACAACAAATACATACATACACACAAGCATATTAAACAAAAGCATGTATTTTTAGTTCCCCAGTTTGATCTACGTGATCGAACGCATTCAGCTGCAGCGGCGCTGCGTTTAAAAATAAATCTTTTAATAAGCAAAAAAGAAAAAAGATGCCCTATTACAATTTAGTAATGGTGAAAACATCTCAAGCTCAAAAGCAGGAATCTCTTAAGTCGACTTAATACAAATTTTAGTGCTGTGTACCTTCCACCCCGAATAAGATAGTAGATTCCATTAGCCTCCTAACGTTCTTTTCAAAATGTTAATAAGTAAAAATCTAGTGGCCCAAGTTTCAAAATACTTTATTTATGATTTTTCACTGTTCGATTTGGAATTTGTAATTCTGCTTTAATTTTTTCTTAATGCATTGAAAGAACGTAAAACGTATATATGTATGTACACACATATCACTCATTTACTTCAATAGCGTAGCTCACTAGAACAAAATATGTATTCATTTTTACTATGGGAGTATATATATGTACATACATATATATGTAAATTCACAACTTTAAAGCCATTTTTCTCGAGCTTGGTTTTTTTTTTTTGAGTTCTGACACTATTGACGTAAATGAGCGATATAAGTTTGAAGTCTTTTCGGACTCGAGTTAGACCATTAATATTTATCACAAATTCACATACATATCGCCCATTTACTAAAAGATTGTCATAACTCAAAAAATAAAATTTTGTAGCAAATAATGCAGAATTGCGCATTGTGCCATGTTTCAAATTGTGTAAAAATTTTACTAGTTTCCGCGTAAGAGGACAATATCCATTCCTTTTTTCTTCGTTTTTAGAGCAAAATTAAAACTGTAATCTCCTATATCCCGTATCCTGAAAACCCTCGCTTTTTGAGTTGTAACAATCTTTAAGTAAATGAGCGATATGAATGTACATTAGACTGCATCACCAAACAAAAGGTGCGGTTTTACCGCCGGGATTACAAAATTTATTTGACGACTTTCACCAAAATATTTCGAAGTAATATTTAGATTAACGTTAGCTGGTCCGATTAATGGAATTTTTATGTATAAAAATAGTTTCTTAAAAAAATTAAAAAAAAAATCCCCTCAGATGACAAAACAGTTTAAGCTTAAATAAACTGCATAAAAATATTAAACTTGTTTTCAACGGAATCATAATAATAAGATTTTGTATGCTCTTTTTTTAACTTTTTTCAAAATTGGTTTAAAAAACTTGAATAACTGGCCCAAAATTATATCGATTTAGACTTATGGGGTATCTGTGGAAAGCAATTTTTTCACTATTTTTATAATATAGTAGATTTTATAACTCCAACGGAAAAATAGAACCAATTTTTTCTTGTATGGGGAGTAATGCAGTCTAATATATGTACATATATACATACATGTAAATAGATTAAAAAATGTAAACAACAAAAATTAAATTTGTTTTTCCAATTAGTTAACCTTCACTGATGTCACCTTTTGTCCCATATTTTTTGTTTTGATTTCGAAAGTATTTTAAATTTCAAAACAAATACATTGTATGCACATACATAAGTGTGTGTGTACATACGTAAACATATTAAAACATGAAAAACATTTCGTTTGGATAATAATAATTTAAGTGGGCGGTGTTTTCGTTAGATTCTCATCGAAGTATACACATCCAATAAATATGAGCAAATCGATGGGAAATTTTTAATTTTTTTGGCCCGGTTTATGGTCATACGGTCTGATTTATGTAGATACGAATTTGGAAATATTTATTTCTAACTGGACTTCGGCAATGATATAAAAATGCCTATATAATGCCATATTCCTCTAACAATGGTCATTATTAACACTTCTTCAATCAAATGATGCATTCTTCAACCAAATTCTGAAAGAGGGCGTCCTTCAAATTTTTTCTGAGATAAAGCATTATGGATCCAGCTGCCGAGATTCCACTCAGAAGTGAAAATAAACTAGATATTGGTAACTAAAAACATATCATCTAACTTTCACTTCTCGTACTCTTCATGCAAAGAAAGAGCTTAAACAATTCATCAAACCTTTTTTTGTTTATAAAATTCATAACGTTTGAGGCACATAAGTACGTAAGTATATATATTAAAATGTGTTCTCTAATATTAAAACTTGAAATTTCCAATTCTAACCGGTCATATTTTAATCGGCTAAGTATTGATTCTTATCAGAAAATTGGCAAAAATTGTAATACCAAGCTAAAACTTTTCGTAAATCATAAGGTGTATCAGTCGATAAGTATATAAAGTAGTTAGGGCATAGAAGCATTCATCTGAAGTCAAACTAGTGTAGGTTGTACAACTTTCAACTCACACTTTAACTCTGGTAACTAATTCGAATGCTGTTCATAGCTGCCACGCCTCGACTCCTCACATCGCATTTAACGAACCTAGACAAACCGATACACGACGGACTGGAACAGCTTCTTCGTATACGAGAGACTGGGAGGCAATGTTATCAAATTCAGAGTTTTAGTTGTAAATTACAGTTTTAGGCAAGCTCACAGTAGAAATTCTAATTTTTAAATTTGCAGATTTGAAAAATTTAATGCAAATATTTATTTCGGTTATTTTGGCAGTACATTTTTATGATAAAAACGGGCGATGGTGATAAATTGGCTACATACAGCTACATTCCAGTAATACGTTTCAAAAATACTTTAATGATCCAAAAATCTCTCTGTCGTTGAAGGTTACAGTTCTTTCTTTTGTTAAAAATATATTCTTTCTTGAGAATTCTTTGTTAAAGAAAATCTGGCAACACTGGAAAAAGGGAGAAAATAAATGGTCTAAATTTCGTGAAGACCTTGAATTATTATAATCCAGCTCTACATGCCTTCATGAATGCTTCCGCAACATACATACATTCAATCTCTACTTTGTATCTGGACTCACTTTGGTGACTTCTTCTGTTAACTGGGCTTTCTGTTTGAACTTGGAACCGATTTCGAAAACGTTTCACATATATTTGACCATTCTTAAGACTTTCACGAACTGAAAAGTTGACTATACTAATGTTCCTCTATTTCATTTGAATATAATGCTTCAAGGTACGAGCAAGGAGCTTACATATCAGAAGCGTCTACCGCAATTCTATCAAACCCGTGTGATGAAACTTACCGGTACTGTGATGCTTCCAGCTCTACGGGCATGTAACAACCTAAACAGACTGCATCTGCTGATACACAGGGTCCTATTACCAAGGGCTCCTCCGTTATCAGCAGTTCACCTGCCTTCAGGTCGCGATTTGCCACCACATAACGTCCCAATATTGTCGATTTCTCAATTCTAAAAGGTGACTGCTTGGTGGACGAATCGCTCGACTCATTTTTTCCCGACCCTTCTGCTTTAGAATTTGACGGTTTATTCAGCACTTGTTGCTGTTGCTGATGTTGGTGATGTTTCTTCTTGTTTTTCTGAAAATTGCGAGAAAATTTACGAAAATAGAAGCATTAAACTTCAGAGAAAATAGTGATCACTTTTCTGCCAATTGATATAACATTATTCCTTTCCATTGATAAAGCAATTTACCGCTAACCGATAGCAAATGCCATAAAAATTTATCTGCCCACAGTGGCTGTATTTCTTTGTACATAAACAAAATTTTTGGCACGCGCTTCCACTTATGAATAAGAAAGCAAGGCGTAAGCAAAACAAACAATTTGCACAAAAACAAAAAATTAAATTATTTATGAACGTGAGAGAGAGCGCAGCGTGAATACTCTCCCTGAAGTCAATTGCAGTTGTGGAGCAAAGATCAATACACAAACAGCACCAAAGAGGCACGCGTCCATGATAATGAATAATTTTTGAAAGGTAGTTTCACTTCTTCTTTTTATCCGCCATGTTAGCTAACTAACAGAAATTGTGCTTCGTATATTTTATGATACCATTTTTCCCAAAAAAAAAATCCAGCTTTTGACGTTGGAAAAATAAAACGAAGCAAAACCAAACTTATAAGTAGAGAATTTTTCAAAAATTATTCAATAATTTTCTTCATAAAAATTCTGAAAAAATTATCTGCTGAAAAGTCAAGCAAATAAAATTAATTTTCGATAAAAAAAAACTTTTTGTTGCGCGCCTCCTCATTTTTTTTTCTCTCGCTTGCACTGCATTTGGCGCACCAACCGGTTTGCTCTAATTTTATGCCGGCGATCAACGCGTTGTCAAACATTGCGCTAACTCATCTCAGCGATGCTAACGAAAATGTGAGCATTTTACGTTGTTGTTTTTTTTTTTGTTTTTCCACATTTATTTTTAGCGTTCAATGAAAAATCGTTGTTGTTGTTTTTGCTGTGGTTTCGGTTTGCTGCTAAGTAATATGCCGCGTGGCGTGGTTCATGATTTACATACATACATACATACATATGTACGTAGCGGGTGTGTGCCACTTGCCGGGCCGGTGCCCGGGCCACCGCTGCGTATACGTATTACTTACTCGCAGCTATTAGCAAATATGCATAAATTTCGTTATTTGATGTTTTGAATATTTAGGTGGGGTGAAAATATTTATTGGATTTTATCGATTTTATGCGCGCCTGTAGAATGCATTAATGGGGGTATGTTGAATAGCTTTGATGGCTCTTTGTGTGCTGTTATAAATTATTTTTGTTAGCCTTTTAATTACTAAATAGAATTATCGATGGTCGAAAAACAATGTAAGGCGAAATTTCAAATATTGGATTAAAATGTCGAATGGAAAAATTTTGGAAAATCAAAAACTATATAGGCAATTTACTCGTATTGTTTATGAGATGCTGTAGGGCATTTATGGCAGACATGTACATACATACATACATATACAATATAATGAAGATATATGCATGTAAATAAAGTTGTTATATGCCGAAAGAATTTAATCGCTTTTTTTAAATAATTTTAGTTGAAGGCTATTCAAAACAATTAGCTTTAAAACTATGATTTCCATGTGCCTACATACGTTTTTACATACATGCATTCGTTTGATCTATCAAGAATAGTGAATTTCGAAGATGAGCATACAAAAAAAATTAGAGAAGGCTGTTCTGTTTATTTGTGTGTTGTGTTATCTTCAAGCATATTTGTTAAATTTTGCTCACGTTGATCTATGACTCGGCTGTTTTAATTAATTATAAGGATGTACGCATGTACATAGGTGTATAATTAATTTGAATAGGAGGCTTTTTATTTTTTGTGAAGCATTGTAAACGAAAAGCTTTTTAAGTTATCCGATTTTATCAAAAAAGCTCTTTTTTGTTTCTCAGCAGATAAAAAAAAATCGAGTTGTGGTAGTCCAAAAATTCGAAAACTTTTCATGGAAATCAATTCCCCTGATTCACAGTAAATGAAAATCCAAATAAACGGAGGCTGACAAGTATGACCATATGGGCAAGTTTACTGAAGGTCTCCAGATCTCCAGAAGTTAAGCAGTCAGTATTGCGGCGGGCCTACTATCAGCTGCTTGGGAGAAATTCAAGCGATCTTATAGAGAGTTTTTCACGGAAGGATCAAAACTTGTGGATTGTTTGTGAAACTTTTATTAAAACTGACTACATAGATAACACTATAGGCATATATTTAGATTACGGATCTCTATACCGTTGTCTAGTACAACTCCCCATATAATAAGCATGCATTTTTTTAGTTTTCTGGCAGAGTTTCGATTTAATACACATTTGAAGAACGTGCGCTATATATTCACATATGTATCTGGAATTTTAATACTCTCTACTTTACTTGTTTTCTTGCCGGCATTTCGCACTTGAAAATTCCTCAAATTCCACTTGAAATTTTCACTTCTATTTCGACTATTTCGAGCACATCACATTCACTCGTCGACAAATGCAAATCTCATCTCGTGGCTACACACATGCCCCGTAGCCCTTTCGCTTGCAACTGACCGCGGCATAATTTGTGAATGTCCCAAACAGTCTCACCATTTCGACACAGTCGAAACGAATAATTCATTTTCGTCATTTGTTTTCAACATTTTCATGAATTTCCACTTTTGTTCTGCACGTCCGTTCCGTTTTCAAACATATCTCCTAGGCACACATTCACAACACATATTGATGATGTGTATGAATATATATGAAGGACAGAATTTACGCCGATTTCGCTGGTGTCAAAAACATAAAGCAAATAATCATCTCACTTTGCCAGCCGCCGCTGAACGACTGAGCATTTTGTAGGCGCATCATTCTTCTTTCAAGCGCAAAATGCTCTACAACTGCCAACGCTCGTTGATTGCATCTTTTTTTTCAATTTATTTGTTAGTGTCCATACTTGTGTGTATGTATGTATGTAAATTTGTCTGAAATTAGTTTAAAATTAGAATTTTTCGATCAACTTCCGCCTTCTGCTTATCGCGACAGTTGATTTGGAAGATTCGATTTTTCAAATATTTTTAGTATTTAAAGAAAAATAGCATAAGTTAAAGATGCGAGTGTATGAAAATTTCACATTTTGTTACTTTAGTATGATAGTATTCACAACTGTCTGGTTATCTGGCTATTCGGTTTACAGCAATAAAATACACAACAGCATAATAACTTTTAACCCGATCACCAGGCAAGTGCGAACACCCACAATGTAAACTTCTATGTTTACCCTATCATAAAATCATTGCTGACTTGGCCTCTTTACTTTAGCAACATAAAAGATTTTGAAGTTATTTGTCATCTGCCACACCCCCAATTCAAATAATAAATACGAGTAGACCCACTGCTAAAAATCATCATAAGCGAAAAAATTAACAAACAACATCACAGTCATCGTAAACAAAAGCATATACATTGTATTTATAAAATCTTAAAAATAAATTTTATTACGCAAAATAGTGACATTTGAAATGATATACGATAATTAAATCGAAAGCATACTTTTTAATTTAGAATGGTTCCGTGTGCAGAAGCTAAAGCAAAGAAAACAAGTTTTTATCGTAGTACTTTTGACAACTTTTTCTCGAAAAAAAAATGCAACCAAGTGAAAAAAGTCGTATGGGATATTCACAACGGTATCGTTATTGTTGTATTGTTGTATGTCTTACAATGTAAAAATAATATGTATGCAAAGAGGAGGTGCTAAAATTCAGCTAAGCTAATTAGCATTAGGGTGTGTGACAGAATCCTGAACAAAATAGTTTTGTAATAAGAAATCGTTTGGGTTGGTTTTTCTGTATTGAATCCATGTTTTTCACAAACACACGTTGCTAGAGAATCACACTTTTATTTAAAAGCACAAAGTGCCAGATTCTTTCTTCTGTCGGAAAACTTTTCGACACCACAGTATGGCTTTCGCCAATAATGATTCAAGCCAAAGTCAAAGGATGAACAATCAATCTCACCCGCTTCCACAAATGGTTGCAGTTTGCGTACAATTTAAAACCTATCTCGGCCATCCAAAAACCCCGATGGGTCCATTATGTTCCAGGCCAACAAGTGGATCTGGATGGGTTCTGCGACGCTATGCCCTTGGTCATACAACATTTCTTAGGTCCGTTTGTTCTTTCATTTATAAAATGAGTTCATTTATAAAATTAAGTGTGTTCGATTACAATTCATAATAATTCAAAGTTTGGCTAGTGATTCGCTTCGTAAACCCACTATCAAATTATAACAACAAGCATCTGCTGATTACGGTACTTCAATATCTTTTATCCCCTACAGCGACCGAGAACAAACGATATGGTCGAAACTAAATATCGTTCTCGTAGTTTTGTTCCCCAGAACGCTTCAAAACCAAAAGCGCAATTAGAAAAAACGTTCCGAAAGAGAACAAAATACAAACTAAATGATCTGGAAGATAAAATGATCCAACATTCCTCTGGCTTAGAATTAACAATCGTGGTTCCTACTGAAACGATTTTTCATCCCAACACACAGACGCCCCTCTCATTCTTAACGTTAAGTTCTCAAAACTTTTTTCTCGTTTTGTTCTCTAGCAGAACGTTCCCCAGACTTTTGATCTTATTTCCTCCTCATTGAAAACGTTCTCGATACTTTCGTTTTCATTTTATTCTCATTGGAGACGTTCCCGAAAGTTACGTTTTCGTTCTGTTCTTCTTGAGAAAGTTCCCGAACCAAAACTGGAACGCGTTCTCGTTCCGTGCACTGAAAAAAGGGTCAGTCAAATACATTTCTCTCAACACAAGACTTAGTAACTTTAATCAAATTATTTTACTCTTACTAAACAATGTACTGAGAGAGATACCACCTTTTCTTTACAAAAAGAATTATAGAAATCGGTTGGCGTGATCCAAAGTTATGCGGTAACATACATAAAAATAAATATTCCGACGGATTGATAAGCTCCTACTTTTTTAAGAGGGATAAAAACTGGCTAAAGCTCTTCATATTAACCTATTTTTTTATAAATAATAAATACATTAGTCGGTTAATTAGAATCAATTTAGAGAAGACTCCAAAATGAAGATTGCAAACAAAGTACAAAAAAGAGTCAAAAGGATGCGATTTCAAGTATTCCTCCTCCTGTAATAGACAAAGGGTATTACAGGTTTATTGCCAGAATCCGGTAGAGACTTCGGACTAATCTTAAAACAGGTTTTATACTTCAAAAAATATATTTCCTCCCATTGTACGTCAGGATCTGTTAGAGACGGAACCAGAAACGTAAGAATAATAAAATTTATGCGTAAATTATGAATTTTGTCAACGTATTCAATCGATGTGGTTCATAAATGCAGGGTGCCCTAGTCCATCCGTCCACCCCCTCTAAAATGAAATCTTATTTACGGACTACTAAATCGGAAATTCCGTATCTTTTGGTGGTACTATCGACTCCCGGTTTCGACCGGAATAGGGTTAAACCGATCGGAAATGCATTTTTTAAATTAAACATACATATTTTTGCTACAGATTCGGATCCTGAGAATAAGAACAAGTAAAGTGACTTTTTCAACCACTAAATTACCTACGAACTTCAACTCGTCCTGCACTTTTAAAATGGACGAAAAGTTTTTTATTAAAAAACACAAAAATTTCATCGGCGATGCTTTTGGTATTATTACCGGACCCCCTACTCTGACCGGAAGTAATTTAAACAGACCGGAAGTCCATTCTTTTAACCGGAATGCCATTCCAGAAAAATTTTTTCGGCAAAAATTATGTATTTTTGTCCGCAGAATCCAAATCTGCGAAACCGGAAGTCGGTAATACCCCCATATTTAAGCTTTTTTCAACAACAACAAAAAAAAACATTTCCCTCCATTTTATTTTTTCATCTACAAAAAAAATACATATTTCTTTGTCATACAAAGTATTCAAATCCACAGCCAATTTCCTCTTACAATTGTTCCCTAGCATTAAAATAATGAGCGGAAATTTGGGCTACATTTCTCTTCAGTTTCTCAATTTTTAATCTGCGATTTGTCTACCTTTTCAGCATGGAAATGATTGCACGCAATAAAAACAATGTCGGATGGCACAAATATACCGCAAGACTAATGAGTTTAATTACTGTACATTGTACTACAAATTCCTGCCTGCAACTGCAGTACACAAAAAAGAAAAAAAAAAAACACAAAAGAAGAGAACAAACAAAGTGAGTGCGGCATGCGATTACAGTTGTTCTCATTGCTAATGATTTCTTGGAACTCCATTCGCCGCAGGTAGGCCTACAATT